CCTTAGGGAGCTCGGCGCACTCTCCCGGGGCGCAGGTGTCTGTTAGTGTCCCCGGGAGCCCGAGGGCATCCCCGCCCTTCTGGGTCCTGCTCCACCTCCCTGCGAGCCCCTTTCCGCCCGCCCGGGAAGGTTGGTGCAGCTCCTGCTCCTCCGGGACGGGGACGGGGCTCTCCTGTCCTGGGGACACTCGCCCCGGCCTCAGCCCGGCTCCTCGCGGGGCCCCTCCCCCTCGGAGGCCTTTTGTTCCTTTATTTCTTTTTCCCCGTCTTCCTACCTTGATAGAAGTGCGGACTCTTCTCCCTGTAGCGTTCCAGCTGGTCTCTCTTTACATCTCAGGCCGAATTCGTAGATTTTCAGGATGGTTTGAAGGTTATCTAGGTAATTTGGTGGGGACAGGCGACGTGGGGACCCTGCTCTTCCGCCATCTTGCCCCTCCCCCTCTATTTATTGACTTTTGAATATATATCTTTGTATTATTTTTTCAGTGGCTATTCCAGAGATTATAGTGTAAATAATCTCATGTTTCACAGTCTATCTAGAGTTAATATTTCATCACTTCATGTAAAATGTTATAGTTTTCATAGATATTCATTTGCATACATTGAAATCCTGCCAGATGATGTTACAATTTTTGTTTTGTTATTTTTATTTTTTGTCTTTTTTTAAAATTTTTGTTTTTAATAGTCAGACATATATTTTAAAGAATACAAGAGAAAGAGAATCGTTTTATATTTATCCAGTATTTACCATTTCTATTGCTCTTCCTTTATTCCTGAAGTTCTATGTTTCTCTCTGGTATCATTTCCTTTCATTCTGAAGAACTTTTGCCTTCTTTTTAGAGTAGGTCTGCAGACAGCAAATTCTCTCAGTTTTCTTTCATCTGAGAATGTCATTCTGACCCCCACTTCTTAAGAATACTTTTGCTGGCTATAGCATTCTGGGTTGACAAGGAATATATATATATATATATACACTTAACGTATTTTTTCAATATTCTTTTCTTTTTATTCTTCAGATTGGATAATTTCTATTGATCTATTTTCAAGTTATTGACTTACTTTTGTCTTTTCTTTTTTGCTATGGAGCCCATCAATGACTTTTAAACTTCAAATGTAGTATTTTTTTTTTAGTTCTAAAATTTCCATCTGGTTCCATTTTTATAGTTTCTTTTTCTGCTGAGAATTCTTAACTTTTAATTCACTTCAAATGTGTTTACCTTTCTCTTATGGAACATTGTTATAATAGTGATTTAAAATCTTTGTGTGATAGTTCCAACATCTGTGTCATCTTGGGATTAGCATCCGTTGTTTTTCTTTCCCCTTGAAAATTGGTCACAATTTCCTGGTTTCTGGATGTCAAAATAATTTTAGATCATATCTTGGAAAGTTTATTTATTTTTTTTAATTTTTTAAATTTTTATTTATGATAGGCACACAGCGAGAGAGAGAGAGGCAGAGACACAGGCAGAGGGAGAAGCAGTCTCCATGCACCGGGAGCCCGACGTGGGATTCGATCCCGGGTCTCCAGGATCACGCCCTGGGCCAAAGGCAGGCGTCAAACCGCTGCGCCACCCAGGGGTCCCCATATCTTGGAAAGTTTAATGATGATGTGTAGACTCTTGGTCCTGGTAAATCCTATGAAGAGTTTTCCGTTTTGATTTATTTGTTTGATAGAGAATCTGCCTAATTAGGTTCAGACTAAAAGTTCTTCACTTCATCTGTGGGAAACTTCGTTCAATTTCAATTTTCAAGCCTTTCTTTGCTTGCTGATTTGTGTCTGTCCTGTGTCTATTCCACTTAGGGTTTGTCTGAAACGTGGGCAGTGACTTAATTGTTATTCAGTTCTCAAAGCTTTGGCACGCTGTTTGGGTCTCCCTTGCATGTATAGCTCAAGGGAGAGCCCAGGACTTGTACATGTGTGGATTTACACACAGAGGAATCCCCTCCCCAGTTTTTCTCTCTCATTTCTTCTCCCAAATGGGGGTCTCTTTTCCTGGTTCCTCCTGCCAAAAAGATCAGGCTTCTCTTGGAGTTTCTGCTACCAGATTCTGGCTGCTGCACAGCCTTATGACTGGGATCTGCTCTCAGGCAAAACCATGAGAGAAAAGAGGAAAAACAGGAGGATTCCCCTTACATATTTTCCAGCTCACAAGTGCCCTCTTTCCTGCTTCCCCTGGATAGAAAGATGGACTTTCTTTCTTTTTTTAAAAAACATTTAATTTATTTATTTGAGAGAGACAGAGATAGCAAGAGAGAGGATGAATGGAGAGGAGAGGGAGAAACAGGCTCCTTGATGAACAGGGAGCCCATTGTGTGGCTCCCTCCCAGGGCTCTGGGCTCATGACCTGAGCTGAGGGCAGATGCTTAACTGCTGAGCCACCCATGTGCCCCAGAAAGATGGGATTTCTATTAGAGTTAATGGCTCACAGCCTTACTACTGGTCTCTTTGGACAGGGCACAACCACTGCTCACTAGATTCCAGAGAAGTCATTGTGGTGTCGCACCGATGGAACTTGCTGGAAATCTCCCATCCAGAACTTACCAAAAATCCACCCTCTAGGGTGCTGGGGAAAGTTTTTCATGAAGAGTGCTGGAGGAACTCCCTATGAAATTGCCCAAGAGGGGTGCTGGGGAAGCTGCTGGCTGCTGGGTGCTCTGCTGTGCATTGCGGGATCCTGATATTATAGAAGTCTGTGCTGCAGGAATCTGGCAGTAGAGAAACTGCTGAGACAGCTCAATGGAAGGAAAGTCCTACTCCTGCAACGTCTCTCCGTTGATTCTGGAAATGCCTACTGACAAGGCTTAGTTAACATCTTGCCAGCTGGCAAAATAAAATTTTTAGAGGGATCAGATCCATTTTCACATGGGAGGCAATAAGGGTGAATTTGGAACCAAGGCAAGAAATTGATAACCAGCACAGGGTAGACGTGGGTCTGGCTGAGGAGACGCACTAAGGCCAGATGGGGGCTGCCTTGCTGTCGCTGCTAACCTGAGGGGCGTGTGTGACTTCACATGGCAGACGAAGTGGGTAGTGTGGAGCTCCTGGAAGCAGAAGAACAGGTGGGCTGGGGAGCCCAGGGTCAGGCAGGCCTTAGACTGCGAGCAGAGCGACATGTAAGTTGTCAGGTTGCTGGCTGAGGTGTGGGCGAGGTGGATTCCATAAAGAAGAAAGGTGTGTTTCTTGCAGAGGAGGGCTCTCGAGGTGAGGCAGAGGGGCAAACAGTCCCTGTGTGGGACGTGGGCCCTGATGGAGCTGTGCCCCGGGAGCCGATCTTGAGTGCGTGTTGTCTGACTCCTGTCCCCACCTCTGCTGTCACTTGCAGGCTGTGTCATTCAGCCCCAGCGAGATCTCCAAACTGGGCACGCTCTCTCCAACCTCTTGGTTTTTGCACACCCTGTTTCCTCTGATTGGAGCACTTCCTCCTCCTTAGTATGGCCAATCCATCGGCCTTCACATCTCTGCTGGGACATGACATCCTCCAGGAAGCTTTTGATAATGCCCCACGTCTAGGTTGGGCCTCTCGTCTGTGGAGTGCAGCATTGACTCCACTCTGAACACGGCACGTAACATGTCAAGTCACAGTGCTTGTCCACCTGTCCGCCTGTCAGCCTGGACTGTGGGCTCTCTGATGACAAGGACCACGTCTCATTCACTGCTGTTTTCCCCGCATCGTGCCTGGCATGTAGCAAGCATTGCACGAGCGTCTGTTGGGTGAAGGAATAAAGGATGAGAGGCCAGAGTGGGGTGCGTGGAGGGATGGCACGGGGTGGAAGTGTACGGGCAGATCACTCAGGGCTTATATGCCATGTTGAGAAGTTTGGAATCTTTCTGAAAGGCAGTGGGGAGCCACGGAGGGCTATTAGTGGGGGGGGGGGGAGCCATGATCAGTTTTCTATGTGAGTTAGGCCTTTCTAGCAGCATCGTGGTGAGTGAGCTGGATGGAGACAAGAGTGAGGGCAGAAGATGAGTGTCCTGCAATGATCCCAGAGGAAGTGGGGCTGGGACAGGACCTGGGGAACAGGGGGAAGGGTTTCTGTTGGTCAGGAGGTGTGGGGCAATGCCTGGAGAGAAGCGGGCTGCTGGGCACTTGTTCTTGGGGCCTCTGCTGCATTTCTTCTCTCCCTCACTGAGTTGTGAGCCCCCGCAGGGAAGGCCCTGAGCCCTCTTTCCTCAGTGCTTCCTCTGTGCCCAGGACAGCAGCCTCTGCCCTTGGCACGTCCCTGGGGCGGGGGGTGTGCATGGTGGAGAGGGCAGGGGTTGGAGTGGTGGAGTCCAGGAGGCAATGTCTCCCATCGGCAATGTGATCCAGAAGGAGAGGCCAGAGTCCTAGTGAGGTTAGCTTGGCAAGTTTATTGAAAACCCAGCAATGCAAAGGATAGTACAAACAGGCACCCCACCCCACCCCAGACCCCCCTGGAGTTGCAGACATAAACCCTCCTGCAGCACACGGGGTTTGGGCCTCCCTCACACCACCAACAGGGGCAGGGGCCATGCAGCATAGCAGAGCCCACCTCTCCATCTGCACCCACCCACCACGTGCGCTCACATGCACATTAAACCAACAACGCAGGAAGAGAAGCTGCTGGGACGTTTGCCACTTGGAGAAGAACCATCTCAGGGGACTTAGGGATCCCTTGGGCTACCAAGGACTGTGGATCCTTTCGGGTGAGGAAGAGAAGGAAAGAACCTTCTCCTGCCAGCGAAAGGAAGGAGGAGGCAAAGGGCAGTGGGCTGAAGACGCCCGCAGTGTGGACAGCCAACTTTCCATTCTCCAACTTAATCCAAAGCCATGGATGGCGATGGTGCCTAGCACATTCTTTTTGGCTTTGCACTGTTCCTTTTCTCCCCGGGGCCCTGATTTGTGGAACTGTGTGGAATGAGCCTTTCTTCGGGACTGAAAGGTGAAGAGTGATCCGAAGAGTGGAAATGGGGAGTCAGCGAGAGGCCAGTCTACTGGGGCTGCAGACGGAGCATCCAGGTGGTGGAAAAAATGCCCCCGAGGACAGGGCCTGGCAGATCAATCCCTGGGGAGAGCGGCGTTGCCTGCCTGGCAGGAGGGGTGGCTGGAGCTCCCTCGGGCCCAGAGTCCAGACGCCTCTGGGACAGAAGCAGGTGACTTTGAGGTGGCTCTTCTCGGGCAGTGGCTGGCTGGCGTGGCCTCTAGTACTTGGTGCGATGGCAGGTGGTGGTGGACACGAAGCGGACGCTGGAGCTGCGGCTGCCTCGGCCCCCGCTGCAGCTGCTGAAGGACCCATCGGGGGGCAGTGGGCAGGGGACGCTGGGGGCGCAGGCCTCGCCCCCCAGCACCAAGCCGCCCCGGGAGCCGGCGCTCAGCAGGTCCCCGCTGGCCTTGATGACTCGGGCCCCCCCCAGGCTGGAGGCGCAGGTGCTGACGGAGCGGATGCCGCTGCCGGACGGGCAGGTGACTGCGCTGCGGGACAGGGTGGCGCTGGCGGCCAGGGCGTCGGGCCCGCACACCGTCCCGCCCCGGGAGCTGCTCACGGCTGCGGGCGGGAGAGGAACCTGTCAGCGGGCAGGCTGCCCACTCCTGGGGCCCGGGGCCCTGCCCTGTGCTGGCGGGCACCGGGGGAAGGGCCCGCGCAAGCCGTCCCTCTCGTCCACACAGACAACACCCCCCTCTCCCTCCTCTTGTCTGGGCCACTCTAGGGCTGTGACTCCCCTCAAGTTAAACATTCAGATTAAAATGGGAGAATTTGGGATCCCTGGGGGGCTCCGTAGATGAGCATCTGCCTTCAGCTCGGGGTGTGACCCCGGGGTCCCGGGATCGAGTCCCGCATCGGGCTCCCTGCATGGAGAGCCTGTTTCTCCCTCTGCCTGTGCCTCTGCCCCTCTCTCTATATATCTCTCATGAATAAATCAATAAAATCTTTAAAAAAAAATAGGGAGAACTCAACCAATTCCCCAGGTGGCATAGAGTCGTAAGTTGACTGTCATGTATATAAGCTGAAGTCAGGGGATCCCTGGGTGGCGCAGCGTTTTGGCGCCTGCCTTTGGCCCAGGGCATGATCCTGGAGACCCGGGATCGAATCCCACGTCGGGCTCCCGATGCATGGAGCCTGCTTCTCCCTCTGCCTATGTTTCTGCCTCTCTCTCTCTCTGTGACTATCATAAATAATAAATAAAAAATAAAAAAAAATAAAAAAAAATAAGCTGAAGTCAGGTTGGGCAGAGAGCTGGATTATCCAGACAACTGGAACAGTAACTCCTACAAAGCCATGGGCTTTTCTCTCCTGATCATATCATGTCCCTGGGGGGGTCCCCGCATTGTCCCTCCAATAAGAGTCTCTCGTCAGTTCTCTTTTAACCCACTGACGTCTTTGCTCTGTAGCCCTCTGGTATCCACTGGGGATATCTCCATGCTCCAGGGCGCCAACCCAACTAAGATCCTTGCTTAGAGCAGCCCCGTCTGTGGAGGGGTCCCCTCTCCTTCCCTCTCCTTTCACCAGAATCCTTCCTACCATCCGTGACCTCCACTCAAGCCTGACCTCTTGCAGGAAGCCACACCTTCTCCGAGGGCAGGCTCACCGGAGGACGAGCAGCTCTACCCGCCTGACCCGCCCAGTGTAGCGCTCACCCCACCAGACATCCATGGAGGTTTGTACTTTTGGATCAGGAATCTGAGTTTGAATTCTGGTTGTGCCACTGACCAGCTTTGTGACTTCTGGCAAACCACCTATTTTCTCCAAGTGAGCACTAAAGGGGTGCTCATGCCTCTCTTCAGGGCTTTGAGGGTCAGGCTGACAATGGGTAGGGCTCATCTCAAGAAGATTATAGTTCTAGAGAGCAGGGGGTGTTCTTGCCTTCTCTGTTCCTGCCCACCCCCCCGCCCCCGGAAGTGCCGGGCACAATCCCCTGCATGCTTTGGGCACAAATGAGGCTTTGGCAGCAACAGCAGCAGCAAGACTTGTGCTCATCCTTGTCCCATCCCCTGCCATGAGTGGGGGCAACTCCTGGGCACAGGCCTTTTCATTCCTTCTCTGACCTTTGTCCCTGAAGGACAAGACACTCACAAGAGAAGGGCTGACTCTCTTCTGGGACCTTCTCCCACCCATTCGACCCTGCAAACCTTTGTGATTGCTTTCTCTGGGGAGATCTCAGACCTCAGCTAAGGGATGCTCCCAGTCCAGGGGCTAAATGGTCCTTGCCTCCCTATCACGGCCAAGCCCAGCATGGGTTCCAGATCCCAACGCAAGCCTGACTTCAAAGGAATTTTGCAGAGCCCCAGGAGAGAAGTGTGAAGAGGAAAAAAAAACTCAAGTTTCTTACATATGTTGACTGGTCCAACACCTTCGCAGATCCTGGGGAGAGAAAGAAATAAGTCAGTTCACAAGCAGAGTTGTTCCTTGAAAAGCTGCCTGCTACCGGGACGGCTTTCTTTGCAGAGTGAACCTACCCATGGTTCTTACCCCTGGCTTACAAGCATCCCGGGAGCTTCGAAAAAAAACACATTTTACTAGACTCTGCCCCATAACTATTGAGTCAAAAAATTCGAGGAAATGTGTTTTTATTATTATTTTTCAACAGATAACCCATCACAGAAAATATCCCATGATTCTGGTGCAGCCTGTCTACAGACTTGCATTTTGGAGGAGAAAATCTAGAACCATCTTCTAATTCCCTGGCAAGGGCAACCTGACTAATACTTGCAGGGAAGCTACTGCTCCCTGTAGAGATGGTTCAAGCGGATGATTCTTCACCTGGTCCCCTTCCCCACGCAGCTGGTCTAGAAGCCTAAGTCTGACCTCACCCCCCACCCCCACCCACACTGGGAGCTCTCACCGGATCTCCTCGCCCTCCAGCAGGCGCCTGTAGGTGGCGATCTCGATGTCCAGGGCCAGCTTGACGTTCATGAGCTCCTGGTACTCGCGCAGCTGCCGGGCCATGTCCTGCTTGGCCTGCTGCAGGGCGCCCTCCAGCTCGGCCAGCTTGCACTTGGCGTCGGTGAGGGCCGCCTCGCCCTGCTGCTCCGCCTCGGCCACGGCAGCCTCCAGCTTGGCCCGCTGCGGGGAGGGCATCAGGCAGGTGGGCTTTGGCCGGGATTAGGGGATCCCTGGGTGAGGCTAGAAACAGAGCCCCTCCTCCTCCCTCTGAGGCTTTCTCTCCTCTCCTTTGCCCACCTGAGACTTGGCGTGCTCGATCTCTGCCTTCAGTCTCTGGATCAGGCGGGTCAGCTCATTGATCTCATCCCGTGTGTTGCGCAGGTTGTCACAATGTTGGCTAGCTGTCACCCGCATCTCCTCATACTGTGTGCGGAGGGAGGATGTTATAAGGCCAAAGTTTGAGTGAAGACTGCAGCCCCAACTGAGTTGCGGGCCTTAGACCTCCACTGGGTCCACTCCATCGTACATGAGTCTTACTCTAGGGCTGCCTACACCCCTTCCTCAGCCCCCCACCCCTTTTCCCACCTTGGTCTGGTACCAGGCTTCAGCATCAGCCCGACTGCGCCTGGCGACCTCTTCATACTGGGCCTTGATTTCGTCGATGATTCCATCAACGTTCAGGTCCCGGCTGTTGTCCATCTTCACGATGACCGATGTCTCTGAGATGTGTGACTGCAGCAACTGGATTTCCTGTGTTGGAGGATCAGCAAGACAGATGGGCTCAGAGTCTCATCAGTGGCTGGAACTCTGCCCAGGAGTAGCTTCAGGAGCCGAGAGCATTGCTCATTTGTTCAGAGCAAAAAGATGGAGCTGACCATCCAAACCTCAAGATGAAGAAGGAGACGTGAACCATTTCAGTGTGAATTTAAACCCTTGTTATAGGGGTGGGTCCATGGTTGAGTGTCTGCCTTTGGTTCAGGTCTTGGGATTGAGTCCTGCATGGGGCTCCCCGCAGGGAGCCTGCTTCTCCCTCTGCCTGTGTCTCTGCCTCTCTCTCTCTGTGTCTCTCATGAATGAATAAAATAAAATATTTAGGAAAAAAAAGTGAGCCCTTGTTATATGCTCGAAGATACCCCTTTAGCACCTTATTTGCTTAGGTGAATACACGGGGCCTAGGAACTTGGCAGAGGGGAGCGAGAGCCATGCTAGGGTTGAAACTTTCCTTTGGCTTATCCACAGAGTGACTGTGGTGGTCATGGATCACTGAAAGTTAATAATGTTCTAGAACATGATGGTCTAGGAATTCCTGCATCTCCAGTCCTTAAAAGAACCAGGGACTTAGAATTGGCCGCTAAGGGCTCTAGAGAGAGCTTTCTGATGCCTTTCCACCCAGAGCCAGACATTAGCTCTGGCTGGCTCTGTACCAGACCAAACAGACCACTTACGAAACAAAAGATAACTAGTTCATTTAGTTAATTAGATCAAACACAGTTTTCCTTACATCTTCTAACAAATCAGTTTTCCAGATTCTTCTGATTGGTAGAGAGGAAGTGACACTCTTAGAGCCCGGTCTTTGGATTGGCCAAAGAGGAGTTGCATCATAGATCCAAAGAGTTTATTCATAAACCTGAGTCAGGCTGCTGAGAAGCCTTACTTGCTTACCTTCCCTTCTCCCCTTGTGGATACATCGACATATAGAGAGGATATAGATTGGAACGGGAGGAAGATATATGGTACTAAATGTTAGAAATTATGCCAGTCCAGACGAAGTCCCCCAGGAGTCCAGGCTGAGCACCGATCTCCTTGTTTGGCTCAGAGGAATGGATGCTTACCGCCATGTATAGAGTTTTCAGAAAGTCGATTTCCTGAGTTAGGGTATCCACGTTGGCCTCCAGGTCAGACTTATTTAAGAAAGCTGTATCCACATTCTGCAGAAAAGACAGAAGGATAAAATGGTCATGACTTGTGCACTGTTTAAACTTGGTGGGGTCTGGAGATGGGTGGGAAGATCAGGCCAATCCGCATAGGGCCAGGCCAGGCTTTGGGATGGGTGGGAGAGTCCCTGGAATGCAGTTTAGTGACTGTTGTTCTTCTCCCTACTATGACATGAAAACTCCCCTGGGGGCTCCTGGACATTTCAAATGCTTATTTAGAGACAAGAAGAATATGGATAACCTAAGACTCTCTCTCTCTCTCTCTTTTTTTTTTTTTTAAATCTAAGACTCTTACAAGGTCACCTCTTCAGACCTCTGCTCTTGCAAAGACCCAGTCCTAAATAATCTGAGGCCAAATCAGAACTCCAAAGGGAACCTGTTACGACCTTTGAGGTTCCACCTTTTGTGGGTGGCCCCAGACTCCACCGGGCTCCCCTGGGCCATTTATAGGTAGGGAGTTGGCGGTGGGAGCAGGTTTTGACTTCAGAACATTTTCCTGTCTGGGGGAGAAGTTTGCTTGGACCTGTTGGTCTGTCTTACCTTCTTCAGAGCCACAAACTCATTCTCAGCGTTGGCCCGGAATCCCACCTCCTCTTCGTACCTGGTTGATAAGGATTGAGAGGGTGAGTTCTCATTCTGAACTGAGACGCAATTATTCCCAGCAACCCAGTGAGCCTCTTAAGACATCTCTGTTACATCCAGGAGCATGGGTCTCTGTTGCCACCTATGTGTTCTCATCTTCTTTGTCTCATCTTTAGGACCATTTATGAGCCTATGGCCTTCAGTTTTTCCAAATCTCTTTTACTTTCTCAAATTAGATTTGGGGTCTGAAAATGTGGACCATTGTTACGCTCCTCTGCTGGAAAAGACTTGGAGTCATTGTACTTGAACATAGAGAAAATAGGACCCCACTCATTGCTGAACCCGAGCACTATTCTTTTTTTTTTTTTTAATTTATGATAGTCACAGAGAGAGAGAGAGAGGCAGAGACACAGGCAGAGGGAGAAGCAGGCTCCATGTACCGGGAGCCCGACGTGGGATTCGATCCTGGATCTCCAGGATCGTGCCCTGGGCCAAAGGCAGGCGCCCAACCGCTGCGCCACCCAGGGATCCCCCGAGCACTATTCTTAAAACCAGAGGGCTCCTTTTTCTGGAGTCCACTCTCCATTCCCATAGATAAGACTAGGGATAAACCATGCCCAATTCCAAGACTCCTTTTTTACTCAGGACCTGCAGAGGGCTTTCTCCTCCTTCCCTACATATCATTGCCCCTACTCCCATCTCTAGGCTGAGTATTGAAACCAGCATTCAACCCCGATCCTTCCAGCTGCTGTTATCTGAGCTTGGCACCTGCTTTGGGGACCAAACCCTGCCGGTCCTTGTTCTATGAAGTAGAGATGCCACTTACTTCTTCTTGAAACCCTCAAGGACATCCTGCATGTGGTTCCTTTCAGCCTCAAACCGAGCCCGGTCACTGTTTGCTACGTCCAGCTGCCTCCGCAGGTTGGTGATATAATTCTCGAAGAGGGGCTCCAGGTTGCTCCTGGCACATTTCTGCTCTTGGAGGAAGTTCCACTTGGTCTCTAGGAGCTTATTCTGCTGTTCCAGGAACCGCACCTAAATCCGCAGGGACAGAGAAATGGCACCTGAAGAACTTGATGGGGTCGCCTACATGTCAGCCAGTTCTTCAGGTGGCCAGAGATGACTCTCAGCCTTATGTTGACGTTGTTCTCTTGTCATTTGACTTTCATTCCTCCTGTAACTCAGTAGAAGCTGTAAAAGTATGTCTGCAACCCCCTCCTCATGCTCAGCCAGGCTCAGCTGCAAACAGAAGCTTTCAAACCAAAGCACTTTAGCACCATTTCCCCTCTACACTCCAAGAATGGTGTAAGCCAGTCCACTGGGAAGTTTGAAAAATTGATTTTACCTGAGCTGGGATTTGCCTATATCTAAAAATTGGTATCGGCCATCTCTCACCGAGAATGAGGAGCAAAGTATATTGGGATAGGATAAGACATTAGGAGATAGGAATTCTCAGGTTATAAGTCCTATCCATCATCCCAGATACTCCATCAGCTGAGAATTATAGAGCTGGAGAAGAACTTGGATCATTTGCTCCACCCGTTCATTTCAGAGATAGGAACCTGAAGCTCACAGAAGGGAGTTTCCATTCTCAGAGAGAGAGGATTATACCCACTCCATGGAGGCATGGTTTGTGGGATGTCAGTTCCACATCATCAGGGTGTCACTGTTCCTCTCATCGGTCTGAAGATCATGACTTTCTGTGGTGGCTTCCTACTATTTCCTTCTATCTAGGCAACTCAGCTGGATTTTGGTATATAGCCCACGGGGGAGAGCATATATTCTTTCTTTTGTGCAAAAATCACTCAGTTCCATTCTCTACTTTCCTGATCCTGAACAGATGTGGTTACCCAGCCTCAGAGACTGTGACAATCTCAAAAAGAGCACAAAAATCTTAAAGGATAAAACCCTTTAAACACGTAGTCAACATTTGGCCTGGCCAAAATCTTAAGGTTTCTAGCCCATCTGAGAGATATTTCTAAGTGACTAGGTGCTAGGACTTAGTTTGTCCAGGTGCCCTCAGATTTGCCTGGATGTTTCTCTTTCCTCCAGAAGACACAACCACTGTCTTAGTCTACCCCATCACGAACCATTTCCTCAAGTTTGTCCTTGTTTTGCAACAAAGTGACCCAGAAATCACACTGCAGTGCCTGAAGGATGTGGGTCAAGGCTGATGCCTCAGGCCTGGGATGTTTTTTCTTAAGGGAGAGGACACTCCAATGCATTTTAGCTCTTCCCATCCCAGATCTAAAGATTGAGCTGTTATAGGTACCTTGTCAATGAAGGAGGCAAATTTGTTGTTGAGGGTCTTGATTTGTTCCTTCTCATCCTTCTTCACCCTCTGGGCATTGGGATCAATCTCCAGGTTGAGGGGGGTCAGCAGGCTCTGGTTAACGGTCACTGCTGTGATAGATGGGGCTGCTGGGATTCCACCTCCTCCAACTCTGTAGCCAAAGCCATAGCCAAGGCCACTGCCGGCTCCAAATCCCAGGCCAACACAACTGCTGGCCCCGAAGCCCATACCAGCACCACTGCCATCACCAAAGCCAAAGGCCATCCCACTGCCAGCACCAAGGCCAACGCCACAGCGGATGGGACGAGGGCCTACAGCTGCTATCCGGGGTGAGCACGATCCAAAAGCGATGACGCTCCGACTACCAAAGCTGCCAAGGCCCCGGAAGCTGGGCCCACTCCTGCAGGAGACAGAGCTTGCCCGGAAGCGGTTCAGGTTCTGGGGGGTCACTGTGGAGCAAGAGCTGAAGTTGCCCATGCGGCACCCAGAGCTGACTCGGTAGGAGCGGCAAGACATGATGGCTTCCAGAGCGGGGATTGCAGAGTGGGGCGAGCCGGAGCTGGGAGTCCCTCTGAGGCTAGTGGATCTCTTTCCCCCTTTTATGTGTCTGAGAATCTGAGGATTGGCCCCATAAAAATGCAAAAAAATCCATTTGGATGCATTTATGAGCTTGGGTAGTTAGCAGAAACTCTTCATGCCTGTGACCTCGTTAATAATGAGCTAATCTCAGACACACCTATTCTCCTCAGGATCCGGCTATAACATCAAGCCTATAAAGATTAAAAACACATAAACACATAAACATTATGGTCCTATTTTCCCCCCACAAGTTCACCACAATTGCCATTATGGGGACATAAATTTGCTTTGGTCATAAATCCAATAGCCTTTTTCACTGCAGGTGCGGCTAACCACCAGAAAGTTAGGATGGTAGGATTCCAGCAAGAGGCTCAAAAGAGATGCACCCGTATGGATGTAACCCCCTAAATAGATGGGGTGTGAGAGGGGTCTGCAGAAGAGACAGGGTCTGCACAGCTCTGAGTCAGAAATGATATAGCAAGAATATGGCTTGTTGCATCTCTGTAGATGGATTAAGTAGTCCAAAAACCCTTTTGTAGTCTTATCTGTCCTCCATGCTCTGGTTTGTGGTTTACATACGAGCTGAATCTTCAGCAAAGCTCATTTAGGTTGGTGGAGATGCACGTCTGATTTGAGACACTCAGAAGAGACTAATTCATGAATTCATTACTTCACTCAACGATGATCAGTTGTCCCTGTGTCCCAGGCAGTGTGCCTGGTGCTGAGGATGGAGAGATAAAAAGACAGTCTCTGTGTTGGGGGGAAGATTTATGTTAAGGTCTTCCACTGGTCAGTACTTTCATGGCATAATCTGAGGCCAAAGCATGCCAATGGTTTAACCATGTATCTGTGTTACATGATTTTGAATCCCCAAAATACACATTAAGGCTGATCTATAGGCTTGTGTGTGGGTTTCTGGTGCTGATGAATCTTCGGTTAGGGTAGAGAGACCCAAAGCCATGAGCCTCTGGTCTAGGGCCATACCATCCTGAATGCATCTATCTTGGAAGCTAAGCAGGGTTGGGCCTGGTTAGCACTTGGTGGGAGACAAAGCAATAAGTCTCTGGGTAGAAAAGGAAAAGCTCTAAGCAATTGGATATTATCATTGTTGCCAGGATTGCAGATATTTCAGGATGCAGGGCAGGTGTTCGCCTTTTTTATTCCAGCACATGACAGGGTTCATCCTACTTGTTCTGTATCTGGTGGAACTTGGGCTTGACTGGATGTTCGGGATTCTTTGGGATGCTTGGGATTCTACTTGGAAGGGGATGCGTGCTTTTGACCTGAGCTATCCAGCCGGGTTCTTTGCCATTTTCTTCCTTTCCAGTCGCAAAGGGGTTTATTTCCTTTGGTCTTACTGTATTAGCTAGGACTTCCAGACCAAGGTTGAAAAGCAGTGGTGAGAGAGGACCTCTTGGCCTTATTATTTTTATTTTTAAGATTTTATTTATTCATGAGAGACACACACAGAGGCAGAGACCTAGGTAGAGGGAGAAGCAGGCTCCTCACGGGGACCCCGGGATCACAACCTGAGCCAAAGGCAGACACTCAACCACTGAGCCACCCAGGTGCCCCACTTGGCCTTATTTTTAATTTTAGTCGGAAAGCTTCAAGTTTCTCACCATTATTAAGTAGGATGTTAGGTGCAGGCTTTTTTTTTTGTAGATGTTCTTTATCAAATTCAGGACATTTCCCTCTGTTCCTAGTTTACTACTATTTTCCATAGACCCAGCTCTCAGGCATATGAGAAGCAGGAAAGTAATGACGAGAGAATCCTTTTCGTGAAGATTGTGATCCCCGTGCTGCTAACCGAAGGGGTCTGTCCTTGGCCCTCACTTAGCTTCTCAGCAATATTTGATCATTTCTCTTTCCTTGAACCACTTTCTTCTTTTGGTTTCCAGACACCGTGCTCTCCCGATTTCCTTGCCATATTTCTGGCAGCTTTTTTTTTTTTTTTTTGGCTGTCTTAGCCAGTTTCTCCTCCCGTCCCCAACCTCTACACACTGCAACATCCTTCGGCCCGGCCTTTGTACCTGTTCACATCTTTATCTGCACTCATTCCCTTGGTGACGTAATACAGTCTCATGTCTTTTTTTTTAAATTTTATTTATTTATGAGAGAGAGAGAGGCAGAGACATAGGCAGAGGGAGAAGCAGGCTCCATGCAGGGAGCCTGACGTGGGATTCGATCCTGGGTCTCCAGGATCGTGCCCTGGGCCAAAGGCAGGCGCTAAACCCCTGTGCCACCCAGGGATCCCCAGTCTCATGTCTTTAAGTACCACCTCTCCACTGATGACTGCCGAGGCATATCGCTGTGCTGAACATCCCTTCTGTTCTCTGCACATAAATTTTAATGAACATCTTTATTTGGGTGCCAAGTAGGCATCTCAACCTTAATGCATCCCAAACCGTTTTCCCAATTGCTCCTGCTACATACATTCCACTTGCCAGGCTCACCATCCATCCCTAGAGTGGCTCGGGCCAAAAATCTGGCAGTCATCCTTGGGTCCCCTGTGTTTTTTCTCATGTCCCACATTCAATCCGTTGGCTGATCCTCCCTTCGGAACGTTTGTGGGTTCCTTCTCCCTCTCACCACCCCACTGCTGCGCTGTTGCCCCAGCCCATCACTTCTCACTGGGTCCATTGATGTGTCCTCAAGCTAGTCTCCCTTTCCCCCTTCATCCTTTTCTTAAACAGCGCAGCGCGATCCTTTAGCAACGTGTTAGATCATGTCATCTCTAGGCCCTTCTGGTTTCCCATCCCACTCAGGGTAAATGGTGTACAGGACCCTCCACAGTCCGCTCTCCTGCTTTCACGGACTTTGTCACCCTTTGTCCACCCTAACGGGCTCCCGCCGCCCTGACTTCTGGTTGTCCATCAAGCAGGTGGGAAAACTCCTGCCTCGGACACTCCCCGCTTGCTCTTTTCTCTGCTGGAAGCTCCTTTTCCTCAAATAGCTGCATGACCAGGTCCTTCAACTTCCAGCTCTTTGCTCATATGACACCTCCTACTTCAAGCTCCCTTCCCCACGTCCTCCCTACCCCCCCTTCCCCTAGTAGTTGTCACCATCAGAGGTGCCCTCCTGCATCGATTTGCTTGTTTCTCTACTGTTCCCTGGCTGGGACAGAAGCTCCAGGATGCAGGCACTTGGTGTGATTGGTTCCACATCCCCGGTGCTCAGGAGAGTGGGGCATGTGGAGGGGACGCTCCCGCTCTGTAGAATGCAGGAATGCCCCTCAAAGAGTCAGGGTGGGAAGCAAAGGGGGAGAAAGGAGCAGAAAGTAAAAAGAAGAGAAATTCCAGCATCTGGTTTTGGAGATACATCACGAAGAGGAGACTCCAGCCTCTAAGGTGGGTGGGCACAGCCCTGAGGACACTGCTCGTGCAGAAGCTCATGTGCTCACTCGGGAGCCAGCACAGTTCGCCCTCTGGCTCTGGCCTCTTGAGCTCTGAGTCTGGGATGCTTGGAGGAAAGGGCCAGGCCAGGGGATCCAGGAGATTGGGAGGGCGACTGGTGGACCCCTGGGGAGGCAGAAGAAGGGGGAGGAGAAGCATCAAGAACACCAACGAGGGTGCCAGGCCAACGACAGACGTGACACAGCCCTCGGAGTCAGATGGACCCGGGTTCAGTCCCGTTTTGCCACCTGCCAGTGGAGTGACCTTGGCCGGTGGTGCACCGAGGGCAGAGTGGGGACAGGACTCTGCTCCGGACTCTGCTTATGTGTAGAGAACTTAGAAATGAGAATACGAGGGGCTGAAAGTCAGTCTGCTTTTTAGTGTCACTGTGTGCGGCCATTTGGAACAGTGTGGGGCAGCGAGCACGCACCCTCCGTGGCGTAGCGGTGACCTGGGGACGTCCCTTAACCTGCCTCATCCTCAGTTTCTCCATCTGTAAGGTGGACTGACACCTCCTTCTCCTTCACAGTATTGTAGGGATGAACGTGGAGGTGTCTGGGCCGTGGCAGGCGGCTGGCTACCCGCAGCTATTTCCGCCCACCGGCCTCTCTGCTCCTCCCCTCGCTTGCCCGGGCCTCCCCTCCCTGCCAGGCGGGCACCCTGGCCCTGTTCCTGCCCACAGCGGTGCTTCCACCGCCCGCCAGTCTGGGGCTGTCCCGAGCTGGGCTTCCCGGGGCCCCAGCCGGCGGGGCCGGTGGGGCCTGTCCTGGGCTGAGGAGCCGCGTCAGCAGTTATGGTTCTGAGGCATCATTTCGCCAGGTGATGCGTAACACAACCCTCAGCCCTTTGCTCGGGGTGGCACGCGGGCGGGGCGGGGGGGGGTTGCCCCAGGGCCCCGGGCTGGCTGGAGCCTCTGCGGCCCTGGCGGTTCTTCCTTCCTGCCCACGGGTCTGGGGGCTGGAGATCTCCCGCTGTGCTGCGTGCGGCTGAGATGCCCGGGTGCAGGCACGGGCGTGGGTGCGGGTGCAGGTGCAAGCCCGCGGGAGGGGGGGAGCGAGGCCGGGGATGCCAGGTGCTGGGAGGCTTTGCTAAAAGCCGCCCTCTTCAGTGTTTCTGTTTTGCCTGGAGACAATGTGTGCTGGGGAGAGACGGCACCGGGTGGTGTTCGCGCCGGGACCTGCCGCTGTGGCAAGGGAAGCTCGGGGTCCCCCAGCAGAAGGGGGGGCGGTGGGGAGACGCCGAGCCCACCCTGCCTAGGCCCTCCCCCCTCTGCCCTCTCAGACTAATGACACTGTGATGGAAGCTAAACACCCCCGCGGGAGCCAGAGAGCCCCCCCCCCCGTTCAGGGCCCCCACTCTTAAGCAGGATGATCTCTTGCAGGTGTGATCCAGATTCCTCGCGTTACCCACGCAGCTGTCACCTGTGCAGAGCCAAAACGATGCTCCTGGAAGGTGTACGGCTCAGGCCACTTCCACGGCCATGCTGGGGGTGGCTGGGCCTGGCGTGGCGGTCCCGTGCTGGCACCGCTGACACCCAGCTGTCTTCCTTCCCCGACACAGGGCCCTGTTCTCTCAGCTCCGTTCACAAGGCCGCTTCTGAAGCCGCTCCTCCCAGTCGAAGCCCTGGCTGGAGAGTGGCAGTGGTGGGTGCACCTGGGCCACCCAGGGGACTGGGATGACAAAGGGGTCCTGGCAAGACAAGGGCCTCTGGGGGGCAGAGGCAAAGGGCACCTGAGGGAGGGGGCAGTGGGGCCGGGAAGGGCCTCGTAGAGGGGAGAGAGGCCCCGGGTGAGGACATGGGAGATGTTCTGGGGAGACAGGCCCAGAGACAAGGAGCTCCATTCTGGGTGCTTCCATCCTCCCCGGGATGCTGTTCCCGTCCTGTCCTCACACGGGTGCTTGGGGGGGGCGGGGTTTGGATTCCTGAGGCCCAGTGGAGTGCAGTGAAGCTCCGACCTCGTGCAGACCCCCATCCTCTCCGTACCCTCGCACCTGCACCCACCTGCACCGGGCTGGCCCTGGCTCCTGGCTCCTCCCGCGCTCAGGAGCCGCTTGCCACCACTAGGAGGCACTTTTGTCCTGTCTGCTTGGAGTCAGCTCCTCAGTGCGGAGGAAAGGAGATTGGGGTGCTGCTGCATAGCACTGAAGGGGACCCCCCCCCGGCATATGGTCTGGAGGGGCCACCAGGCCAAGCCCACCTCACAGTGAGGGGGGCAGCCCCCCTCCCTCTCCACCTTTACCCAGTGGCGTGTTTCCTGGGCCTTGGCCTGTGGGCTGGAGGTGGAAGGGCCGTGGGGACTCCGGGCCAGAGCATCCTTGCAGTTTTCAGGGCTTCGCATGTTCGTCAGCAAGGAGCTCCGCTGGCTCTGGGGCCAGGTCCAGAGTGACAGGGCTGCAAGTGGGGACTGAGGCGGGGAGGCCCTGCTCTCCTGTCCCCCTCCTCCCCTCTGCAAGGTTGTGTGGGCCTGGACTCCAGACTCTCACTGGCGGGGGGAAAATTCGCGCTTGGGCTCCCAGTCGCTGGTTCCTGAGCCTGGAACAGCACCTGCCCCGCCCCTGCTGCCGCCACCACCAGGCTTCCTTCCCCAGAGTCCAGCTGCCTTTCAGGGTCCAGCTTGCCTGCCCCTCCTCCTGGGGACCTTCCCAAAGCCCAGGACCAGGTAGGACACCCAGTCACGTCCCCCGTTGCAGCCATCCTCACATCTTTAATTCCCGTCCCAGGTCTGCATGCCCGGCTGGGCTGTAAACCCTGTGCGGCTTGCATCGTGGGGGCCCCACTTAAGAAACCCACAAACAAACAGCTTGGTTGAGATACAATCCACAGGCCATATAATTAGCTCATTTATTGTTTTTATTGTTATGTTTTGAAGATCTTATTTATTTATTTTAGAGAGAGAGAGAATGCAGGCGTGAGCGGAGCAGGAGGGACAGGGGGCGGGGGAGGGAATCTCACCCAGACTCCCTGCTGAGCATGGAGCCCGATGTGGGGCTCCATCCAGGACCCTGACGTCATGGCCTGAGCCGAAACCAAGAGTCAGACGCTTAACTGACTGAGCCTCCCGGGCGTCTCTATCATTTGCTGATTTAAAATGCACAGTCGGGGGCAGCCCAGGTGGCTCGGCGGTTTAGCGCCGCCTTCAGCCCAGGGCGTGATCCTGGGGTCCCAGGATCGAGTCCCGTGTCCGGGTCCCTGCATGGAGCCTGCTTCTCTCTCTGCCTCTCTCTCTGTGTCTCTATGAATAAATAATAAATAAATAAATAAATAAATCTTTAAAAAAAATGCACAGTCGGGTGGTTTTGGCATATGCTCAGGCACATGCATCCATCAGCATAGTCCAACTTAGAACGTTTTCACCACTTCCAAAGGGAACCTTCAGCCATCACCCCCCACCCCATCTTCTCCTCCCTCCAGCCCTAAGCAACCGCTGATTTGCTTTCTGCCTCTATGGATTCCTCTCTTCTGGACTTGCATAGGAAAGGACTCGTCGAACAGGCGATCTTCATGTCTGGCTTCTTTCACTTGCCATGCGTGATGTTTTCAAGGATCGTCCCTGTGGTAGCACGTGTGAGTGCTTCAGTCCCTTTCACCACCGGATAGTATTCCATTGTGTGGACAGACTACGGCTGTCCCCACCCTCTGGCTCTTGTGAATAATGCTGCTACGAGCACTCACATACAGGAGTTTGTGTGGACATGTGCTTTCATTTCTTCTGGGTGTACATGCCCACGAGGGGAAGTGCCGGGGCCTACGGCCGCTCTGTGTTTAGAGGAAACGCCAGGCTGCTTTCCAAGGTGGCTGCACCATTTGACAGTCCCAACCGTGGGCTCTAGCTACTGCGTCTATACTACCTGTTGAGCAAGTCAACCCTGACTGGAGCTGTCTTGTTCATCACTGTGTCACCAGCCGCGGGGTGGCCTGACCCATAGCAGGTACTTGATAAATATATATCGAATGAACGAAAAAGTAAATGAATGGGTTCTTTTGAATGTGCTGCTCCAGACTTCCACCCAGACTCTCTCCTCCTTACAAATCTTCTCTGTGAACCTCTCTCTGACCCCCTTTCCGGGCATAATCATTAGTTGCCTCTTCTTGTTGCTCCCATACTCTCTGCCTCTCATTATCTATGACTCCTCTGTGAGGCCAAGAGTCCCTCCAGGGTTAAGAGAGGGTCTGAGTCACCTCTGTATCACCCGCTTCTCATGCAGGGGTTGGCACAGAATAGATGCTCTGGATGGGGCCGTGGGGGAAGGGGAGCTGCACCCTGACACTCAGGAGAGGGGAGCCCCCACGGGGAGGTTGCAGTGGGCAGCTGGTTACAGGGGATCAGTGAGGCCACAGGAAGGATGTGGGGGCCCCACAGAGGGTAGATAGAACTGCTCCTACCAACTCTCATCTCTAAGTCTTGGGGTTCCCAAAGAGGGAGAGGGGTCTGGAGGGTCCTCCTTTTTGGCTGGGCTGCTGCCCATCTGCGCAGCTTTCCCCAGGCCTGTCCCTGCCCTGCCCTGAGACTGGTCCAGGATGGGGAAGCAGAGCCCAGGGCTTGGAGGCTGCTAAGTATAGACATGATAGCCCCCTCCCCGTAACAGGCTTTCTCTGGGGCCTCTGCAGGGGACCATGAGGTGAGGAGGCCTATGCGCACAAGGCCGTGGTTTTTAACATGGCAAGTCTCTTGCAATCTATTAGGGTGTGATATGTGGGTTTTAAATGCAATTTGTATGGATCCGCATTTATTCCACAGGCTGCTTACCAATCATCCAAATGTAGCTTTTCCATCTGTATGATAACCTTCATTTCCACTCCCAAGCCCCCCCATCCCAGCTCCCAGGTCCCAAAGGCTGCTCATTGGTTCCCCTTCAGCCTCCTTGCACCCCACAGAGCAGGTGGGGGTGTAAGAAATAATCCTGATGCCTGCAGTCTGTGAACAGTCAGTTTATTGGGAACAGAGAAGCCCAGAGGCTCATGGCAGAGATGGTGGCTCCCTGGGTGGGTGGCAGGATGCAACACTAAGGGCCTCTGGGGAGACGGGGTCAGCGCGACACCTCCTTCTGTGCAGCCCCTGAGCCAAAGCCTCCCAGTTTCTGGGCAGCCCCATATCACTGTAGCCAGGAAAACCCGTTCACATCAGCCCGAAAGCAAGAGGTTCTAAAAGGAGACAGAGCAGGAGGTGGGGGGTTGGCCTGGGGCCGGGGCGGGCTATGTACAGAGGGTGGGGCGGGGGCTTGATTCCGCTGAGCCAAGGGTGTCAGCTCTCGACCGTCTCCGTCCAGTAAGTTCCCCACATCCCCTTGCCTTTGTTTTGGCATTTCCCGGCCGTCAGCTGCCAACGGGACTCAGGAAAAAGATGTATTTTCGTAGTGTGAGTTCCGCACCCCTGAGCAGGGAAATCTAGTGCCCAAAGACCGCCTCTGGATTCCGTGTGCCAACCGAGAGGGCCGTTAAGAGGTCTAGAGCGATCCTGAAACGCGGGCACCGGGCTCCGGAATTCAGAGTGGGATTCGGGCGATCGCCGCGGTGCGTGTGTTAGCTGGGTGTTAAAAGGAGTTCGCTTTTCTCGGGTGCACGAGAGCTGTAAGGGGGCGGGGAGCCTGCAGGGGTGTGGGCCCGGGAGACTGGCTCTGTGGGGAAACTTGCAGGGGACGGTCCACAAAGCGGAGCTTTGATGCGTTCACCCCCAGGGGCTGGCTCGGGGTGGTGCACAAAGTGAAAGGTGACTCCTGAAGATGCCCGAGGGGCGCCTGCGGTCGGTCGGTACAGGAAGGCGGGGTTTGGAAACATCCTTGTCTTCAGCCCTGGTGGGGGGACGGCATCCAGGCTGTGGGCTGGAGGCCTGTCCCTGGGCTTCCAGCCTCTGGGGCCGCGCTAACACTTGTGGGGGGAGGCGCTGCCCCCAGCGCCCACCTTCGTGCTGGGGCTCCGGCCGCTCACGCAGCCCAGTACCCCTTGGGGCTCGCAGGGGACGTAGACTTCGCCGGAGCCCACCACGCTGCAGCCCCCGCTGCTCTTGAGGACCCCGGGGGCCCCTGGGCAGTATTCGGTCCTCAGGATGGGGGTGCTGACCATGCATGGCTCGTAGAGGACCGCGCCTTTGGAGCTGCTCACAGCTGTGGGAACAGGGAGGGCTGCTTAGGGTCCTGCGGCCTGTGGCTCTAAGGGCATTGCCCTGAGGTGTCTCAGCCAGGCCATCCCCCCGCCTGCTGCCACTCGCCAATACGGACACCCCCACGCCAGCCACCGACTTTCTACTCTAGCCACAAAAAGTGCTTAGAAGCTGTCCTCTTCCTCCCAAACCTCGGCTTCCGCTTCACGCTTGTTTCTACTTGTCTGAGCCTGCTTCCCAACTGCTTTCTCCAGAGAGGCATCCCCTCGTCACGATGGTTCCCAGCAGCTTCTAGACCCCAAAGCACTGAGGCCCTGCTGCATATCTGCTCCTGATTCTGCCCCCCAAAGTGAAGTACACCCTCTCCGTCTGGCCAGGAGCTCCCGGCAGACAGAGCTCCTCCTTGGGGTGGGGGTGGGGCACGCTCGCAGCCTGGGCAGGGGGCAGTGTGACCTGTCCTTGTTGGGTTGATCGGCCCCCACGACCCCAGAGCCCCCGCAGGAATGCTCATCTACTCACAGATATTCACGGGCCCGATGCCCTCGCACAGCCTGGAGTGAGGGAAGAAGACACAAGGAGACCGCGTCAAAGAGAGCAAGGCTGATGAAGGTGGGGGGGGGGCACCCATCCTCCTGCCCCCGCCGCGGCCCTGCACTGCGTGAAGGGGGTGGCGCTGGGGATTCTGTGCCCTTTGGGGCTTCCCCCTGACCGCGGAGTGGGCAAGCGGAGCCCCAGGGAGCAGAGGGCGGGAGGACCTGGCCTTGATGGGCAGCCGGGCCTCACCTGTGCTCCTCGCCCTCCAGCAGCCGCCTGTAGGTGGCGATCTCGATGTCCAGGCCCAGCTTGGAGTTCATCACCTCCTGGTACTCCTTGAGCAGGCAGGCCATGTCCTGCTTGGCCTTCTGCAGGGCGGCCTCCAGCCCCGCCAGCTTGCACTTGGCGTCGCCGAGGGCCGCCTCGCCCTGCTGCTCCGCCTGCGTCACGGCGGCCTCCAGCTTGCAGCGCTGGGGGCGAGGGCACAGAAGGGCATTACTGGGGGCTCCCTGGAGCCCAACGCTGACTCTCAGAAAAACGGGGAGAACATGGTCATTAGGAGATAATTAAAAAATATATATATATAGGTCTCTACCTCCAGGTCCTGGCACAGAACCCCAAAAGTCTGGCAAATCTCCCAAGTGGTAAGAGCATTAGGAGCATCTTTTGTTTTGATGTTTGGTCTCGGACCTTGGGTTCTGACACAAAGTTCTCAAATCCCTTGGGATTCGTGGATGATAGCAGTGTCTTTTGTTCCAATGAGGTGAGTCTGGGTGAGTCCCGCATGGCTCCTGGGTGGCGGCTGGTCACCAGAACAACCAAGCCATGCCCAGAAGCTTGGAATTTTCAGCCCCCCGGCCCCATGACCAGACAGAGGGGAGGGGCTGGAGATGGACTTAATAACTGGTCATGCCCAAGAGAGGAGGCCTCTATAAAAATCCCCAAAGTATGGGATTCACAGAGCTTCCAGGTTGGTGAACAAGCAGGGGTGCTGGGACGGTCGTGTGCCCAGAGAGGGGCATAGAGGTTCCGCGTCCTTCCCGTCTAGCCCGCCCTATGCCTCTCTTCCATCCGATTCTTGATCATATCCTTTTATAACAAATGGCTAAATAGTAGCTGAACTGTTTCCCTGAGTTCCGTGAGCCACTCCAGCAAATTAATCGACTGGAAGAGGGGGTCGCGGGAACCTCTGATGGGTCAGAAGCACGGGTGGCAACCTGGACCTGGCTTGGGCATCTGAAGTGGGGGCGGTCGTGTGGGACACTGACCCTGTGGGATCTGACCCTCTCTCCGGTTAGATAGTGTCGGAGCGGAGTTGAGGCGTAGGACACCCGCTGGGTGGCATAACCGGCTGCGTGGGCAGATTTGTGAGTGTGGGAATGAGGCCACAGTAAAGGGAACACATAGGAGGAGGAAGGGGATTTCCTTCCCAGTCGTGGTGACATGCCCGCTTCAAAGCTGCTGTGCATCTCGTCCTGGGGCTGTGACATCTGGTTCCTCCAAGGACGTGGGTCCAGCTCTACCTGTGACACTTCAAGGAGATCTTGGGGCTAAGACTTCAAGTGTCTGGCTGGATTTCACCAGCCTAGGAGAACAGAGTGGGTCTGTGTTTTTGGACCCCTGGGAGTCACCTGGAATTTTTCAGGATCACAGGACTGGAGTCTTTGGGTTCGAAGGGGCCGTGGCGACCACATTTCTGTGCCCGCACCTAGGGGAGCACCCTTGCTATTTCCCCTGTGACCAAAGGTTGCTTAGGGTCCGTCGGGACCTCGCTGTTTCCCAAGGCCGCTCCTGCCTGCGGTGGGCCAGCTTCTGTACCCACGGCCTGCGCCCCCCGGAGTGAGGGCCAGATGCCCACCCCCTCCTCCCCGCGCTCCCGGGGAGAACGGAGCCGCCCCGGGCCGGCGAGGTGGGGCCTCACACGAGGCTTCCTGGCCTCACCTGGGCTTTCACGGCCTCAATCTCTTGCTGAAGCCGCTGGATCAGCTTGTTCATCTCCAGGATCTCATTCTTGCGGTTGCGGAGGTTGTCACAGTGGTTCCCGGCTGTCAGCCGCAGCTCCTCATACTGCAGGGACCCCGGGAGCCGGCGGTCAGAGCCCGGGCCGCACCGGCACCCGCCCCGGCAGCGCAGCGCCCCTTCTCACAGTCGGGAGTCTCTCCTCCCGTGGCTGCCTCGCTCAGGCTCTCGGGATTCTCACGCTTGGGCTGCTCCCCGGCCCCTTTGCATTTCTGGTCAGCTTGGGGGTCCTTTCCTGGGCTGCTGCTTATTTCCTTCCCCAGCTCCGAACCTTCAAACTTACTAAACGCCACCCCTAGCTCTCCTTCTCTCTGTTTAGCTGTTCTGCGGCTCTTCTTTGTCCCCCTCGCCCGGAGCCCCAGGGTCTCCTGAGCGCTCCTTCCCCTTTAGACTTCCCTCTTGGATCCTAGGAGGGGTTTCTGCGCTCGGCCTTCGAGGCCTAACGGATCCGGGAGTGAGGACAAACCGCATCGGCCTCACCAGGGTGAGAACCTTCGGATATTCTCCTCCAAAACCATTGAAAACAGAATGCAACGTTACTTCCTACTCTGGCTTAACTCTTTTTTTAAACCATTGCAGCAATAAATAAATAAATAAATAAATAAATAAATAAATAAATATAAAAAAATAAACCATTGCAGCTCCAAAATCAATCTCTGAATCATGTTTTATCGATCACACCTATAGATGCGAAAAATTAGCCGACTTTAGGTTTTCTGCCCATGAAGGATGGGAGCACTTTGCACAGAGAAGGCAAAATAAGTGATTAAGCACAAATCACTCCCTTGGGCTCTTTTGTTATTCGGCTGCTGCGACAAAGCCTACAGCTGCCCAACCAATGTGCACCCTCCTCTTCTTCCAAAGAGCTCTGTTTCTGTTTGGGGTGGCAGCGAGCCTCAGAAGGGAGGCCTGGCTTTTGCATTAATGAGGTCTGTGGGTAAGGCTTCCAGGAAAGCTGTTTCAAGTCGGGGAGAACCCAGCTGGCCTGTGTCTTTTGCCCCGTGTTCTTCCTACCTGGAACGAGCATGCGAGATTAGCAATATGGCAGCCTCACTGGGACATGAGGCGACCGTGGGGACTATGGCAATGTTAAGGACGGCGGAGCAGAAAGCTGGAAGGAGCCGTGTCCCTGACGGCAACAGAAAACCCCTGTGTCATCTGTGGACAGTCTATTTCTGTGGCCTCTTTGCGGGCAGGGACGGTGTGACTCTCAGTATCGTCATGGTCCATCCATGCCACCCCAGTAAGGCCGTCCTTCCCTGGCCGCCCTATTTAAAACCTCATTCCCGCACCACTCCCTTCACTTCACGCTGATTGGTTTTCTTCAAAGCACACGCCACCGCCTCACACACATCCACGGTACTGAGTCACCCCGTTTATCGCCGGCCCCCCCCTGCTGTCCCTGCCTCTAAAAGGAAAGTGACCCGAAGGCAGGGTTTGCCGTCCGTTCTGTAACCTGCTGGGATCCAGCCCCAGTCCCAGTCCACTGCTGGGACAGTGCTTGGCATATGACGGATGCTCAACAAACGGTTGTTGGATGAATAAATGACGGAGCGAATGAATGCGTGGTGCCTTTCACAGACAGGGCGGGAGACACGGAGGTGATACTGTTGTGAAATCAAGTTGCCCTCGGGGGTATCAAGCTCCCTCCTAGCAAGCGCCTGATTCCCTAAGTCTGGGGCCGCCTTAACGACCGCTCATGCCCTGCCATTAGCGGCCGTTGCGCCACTGGCCTCCCCGACGCCCCGAAGCCCAGGGCCCTCTTTGCAGCCATTGCCAATTAGTGCCTCCTGAGTGCTGCTTAGAGGAAGGCCTCCAGGGCGTCTGTGCGTGGGGAGCGCTGGGACGCCCCGGCGCCCTGATGACAGGCCTGGGCTGTCGGTGGGGTCCCCTCCCACACCCTCTGTGGGGACCTGGCCTGGGGCCTGGCAGAAACAACAGGACCCGAGGATCATGGGGTTCCCTATGGCTGTGGTGCAATGCAGCCCTCGTCACCCTCTCACTCACTCCCTGGGGGTCAGGGGGCTGGGGTCCCCACCCTGTCCTGCCCGGGCCTCACCCGGCTCTGGTACCAGGCCTCAGCTTCGGCTTTGCTGCGGCTGGCGATGTCGTCATACTGGGCCTTGATCTCGGCGATGATGCCATCCACGTCCAGCTCCCGGCTGTTGTCCATCTTCACAATGACGGAGGTCTCGGAGATCTGAGACTGGAGCAGGCACATCTCCTGGGGTGATGGGGGGGGGGCGGCAGGTGGGAAGGTGGGAGTATTTTGAGGATGGAGACTGGAGGGGACAGCTCTCACCTTCCCAGAGCAGATTTGCACAGCACCTTGCGTAGCTGTCTCGAGCCTCCCGTCACCAACCTGCTCCTCGTCCCCCCTCTAGTTATGCAGACCCAAGAGCCGAGGCTTGGCCCCTGTGACTCCTGGGAGCCTCCCCGCCTGAGAACCAGCTGTTCGTGCCGATTTCTTCCAGGGCTCACTTTTGGGGCTGCCTGCCCCGGACAGCACCCGTTGGCAGGAGCGCTCCCTCCCCACCGTGCCCACCCAGCCGGTCCCTGACTGAGCATCTGTGGGTGGTGGGGCTCCAGGTACCTCTTCGTACAGGCCTTTCAGGAAGTCAATCTCCTGGACCAGAGCCTCAGCGTTGGTCTCCAGGTCAGCCTTTATCAGGAAGGCCGTGTCCACCTCCTGCAGCCAGAGCAGAGACAACCATAACCTGGGGCCGGGGGACCATGAGACGGCCACCCCCTCTTCCCACTGGGCCACCTCCCAGGCAGGCCGGTGGCGGGTGTGAAACCACGTGCAGGCCCGCGTGGAAGTGGAAAGGCAACAAAGCCAAGGATGGAGGGAGGGGTCCCAGCCCAGGACCCCATGCCCGAACCTGGTGCCCTGATGGGGAAGGATCTGATGGAGCTGGTTTTGAAGGGGCCTTGACTGCGGCTTCTCTGAGTCCGCTTTGTGAAGCACGGGCCATAGAGCACCTCTGTGCTTTTGTTTTCCTCTTTTGTGGTCCGAGCCAGTTTCTGTTTGATTTTTGATTTGGCCTGGGCTATATCTCCAACCGCTAGGGCAGGTGTACGTACGACCCTAACTGGGTCGGGACCACGTGAGTCGGGAGTGGAGGCGGGTCAATCACTGCTTTTCTGCAAGAAGTGGGGGAAAGCTGGCTTTCCTCTTTCCCAGAGTCAGTGGGGTTGGCCCTAGGCCCCGAGGGGTGAGAGGCCCCGTCGGGGGGTGCGGGGTGGGCTGCGGACACGTGTGGACCCTGTCAGGGGCTGAGTGCGGCCAGGCCACCTGGGCCGGCTCCGGGGGCTTCTGTCTCCCTGGGACCGACCCCCTCACCTTCTTCAAGGCGACAAACTCATTCTCGGCGCAGGGCCGCAGGGAGAGCTCCTCTTCATACCTGGTGGATGGGCGGGAAGAAATATCCTAGTCTGGCTTGGGGTTTGGAAGCAGCCTTGGTATCCGCCTGAGGGAGGGCCGGCGGGGGAGGGAGGAGGGGAATCCTGCCTCTCACTGCCTTAACGCCCTAAGGACCCCGTCGTCACTGGACACCTCTAGGCCCTCCAGGCGTTCAGGACAGAGCACTGTCGCCATGGCCTCTCCGTAGCCACCTTGCGTGCTTATCTCCCTCCCCGCAGCCCAGTAGCCTGTTCCTGCGATTAGTCATCTTCTGGGAAGTCCTTCTTAAGGCCCCCTTCATTCCACCTCGCTGCCCAGGAAGCTCGTCTCATTTAGCTGTTTGCTCTGGGAAGGTGCTGAGGAGTTGGCTGCCTGCAGCTGGCACCTCTGTCTCTCCTCGGGGTGGTTCTCAGATCGGGCTGCAGACCCTGGAGTCCCAGCCCGCCCGGTCCTTCCCCGCCAGGAGAGGTCTGAGCCGGGCCTCCACTTGCAGCTCACTTGCAGAGGTAGCAATTACCCACTTTACCGAGCCGTGGAGACAGCCCGACCATCTCCTCCAGGCTCCGAGGGAGCTCCTCGCCCACTCACTGTCGCCCTGGGCAGCGGAACCAGGGCCAGGGGGTTCCGTGTGGCCAGGATGACTCAGTCTGCCGAGGGATGTGGAGCCATTAAACGCCTCCCTGAGCTTCCCGACGCCCGTCCTTCCTTATTCTGGCCTCAGCGTGGGCCCGGCAGCCGGAGCCTTCTGTCCGGGTGCGAATCCCAGCTTGGTCAGGTGCTAGCCACGTGACTCTGGGTAAGGGACTTGGGTCGGGGACCTGTGGGTGCCTCAGCTTCATCACGTACAGAACGAGAATAACCCCGGTCCGGCCTCACGGAGCTGCCGCAAGCCAACACGGGCCACGGGTTAGTGTCTGTCCGGCACGCGGACGCCATCAGTGCTGCCCGTGACCGGCAAAACGGCGCTTCGTCTCATCCCTCTACCCCCACCGCCACTTTCCCAGCCCAAAGTCCTCCTTGTGAGCTGCAAACCACATCTCCCGCTGAGAAGGGCATCGCCCCTGCCGCAAGGGCCGGCCTCGCCGTGCCTCTCCCGTCGGGCTCCGCTTGAGTGGTCTCACCTGGCGCACTCTGGCCCCTCTTGTCACCTGCTCCCATCCCTTCCCCTTCACTGGGATCTACTCTGGACTCCCCTTTCGTGATGCCCAACTGGAATGAAATTTCATCATGGCCCCGAGCAAATGGCACCTCCTCCGGGGAGCTCTCCTGGGCCCCGTGTGCGCTCTCACTGTCTGGGCTTTCTTCTCCGCCTCCGTCCTGTCTCCCGTCATCACTGTTGGAACGTGTGCGTGGAGGTCTGTGCCCGACGGGGGCATCTTGAGGGCAGGAGCCAGCTCAGCACAGGGTCTGGCACCAAGTAGGCATGTGACCGACACCTGCAGCTCAAGCGCCTGCCATGTGGCTCCATGCCGCTGATGCACGTCCCCTGGGAACCATTGCTCTGAGCATACTTGCCCTGCTTCTTGTCAATGGAAACGTGTCTCTCTCTACCTTCTCCCAGCAACCTGTGCTCCCATGGGACCCTGGGCCCAGAGACACCCTCCTACGACCCATGAGGCAGTATGTCTGGGCCTCAAGCCTCTTGTGGGCACTGGACCTAGAAGCCTGCTCTTAGTTGACATCCATTTCCCGGCTACCTTCTCCTGTGAGTCAGGCTGGGAGCCGAACCTTAACCACAAGAACTGGGGACTTAGAGCCCTGAAGGTAAGGACGGGTGATGGCTTCCAGCTGTGGACACTGGGTCTGGAAGCTGGGTGTTGAGGAGTGAGAGGAAATGTGGGCTGTGGTGGCAGCTTGGGTGCCGTCCTGAGAGGAGCCGAGAGGGGCTTATTGGGGGAAGGGACAGCGGGAGCAAAAGCTTGAAGGGAAGAGGGTTTGGGGGGTGAGTTTGGGGAATGAGACATAGTTCCGCATCTGGACGGGGATGGTTGGAAGATGCAGCAGGGCGGGTGGTGGAGCAGAGCCCCGGCTGCTGGAAAAGGCGGGAGCAAGAACTCGTACCACGTTGGGATGACTGAGCGAGCATGGGGCGAGGGAGGTGCAGACAAACACACAACCTCAGAGCTTCTACCGCCAGCTCTGCCCCACGGGCGGTGTCCCTGGGGCTGTGCCTGTGTCATCCCGCTGCACTGACGCCTCACCTAATCAACCAAGTTTCAGGCCTCCCGTTGCACAGGTGGGGAAACCGAGGCCCAGGCTGTTGCACGTGCCTTGCTCCAGGCTCCGTGGAGGGGTGAAAGTGGGCCACACTCACTTTTTCTTGTAGCTTTCCAGTGCGTCCTGGAGGCTGCAGAGCTCCGACTCCAGCCTGGCCCGATCGCCCGCCACGCAGTCCAGCTGCCTCCGAAGGGCGCAGATGTAGGCCTCGAAGATGGGCTCTATGTTACTCTGGCAGCATCTCTGCTGCTGCATGAAGTTCCACTTGGTCTCCAGCAGCTTGTTCTTCTGCTCCAGGAACCGGACCTGCAGCCAAGCACAGGATGTCACCGGAGAGCTGGGAGCTGGGGACCACGGCTGGGAGACGGTAAGAGGTGGCCGGTGGGTGGGCAGCGCGCTCTTGCTCCCGGCACGCTGCCGCCAGCAAGCTGCAATTTTCAGATGAGGCTGTCCGCATAGACTGGCCCCTGAGGATGTGTCTCCACAGCTCCCCTGCCCCAGGGGAGCTTTCATAAGACCCCCACCTTCCACCCAGGGGTCACGCATTGTCATGGAAGGCGTACTGTCCCCAGAGGCCTGGGACAGGTGCACCTTCCAGCGCTGCCTGTCGACCTCCCACGAGCCTTGCGACCTTGGCCAACACATCCTGTCCCTCGGAGCCTCGCTTGGCTTCCTAAGGCTCCTGCGTGGTATCGGGTATGGGAAGCACTTTGTGAGTCCTCATACTGATGTCAGCTGGTGACACTACGCCTGGGAGTTCAGGCTTGCTTTGGTCGCAGCCCAGGGACACTCAGGGGAGTTCAGGTCGAAGACTTTGTCCCAGGACTCCAAGCCCTTTCCCCTGACTCTGCTGCGCTCTGTGTGGCTGCGTCCAAAATGTGTCCCTGTCACGGCAACGGGGAAAGCTCCCGCCAGCCGGGCTTCTCCCTTTGTGGGCTTAGAACCCGAGATTGGGAGAAGCCGAGTGAGCCCATCACGGCCACACCATCGGCCGCTGGCGGAGGGAGCACGGCGCCCGATCCTTGAGAGGAATCTGCGGGGCCAGCGATGTGGCCCTACGTCCGGAGCCGCCCCAGAGGTGCTGCGATGTTGCTGAGGATCAGGGCCCAGAACCTAATGAGCTTTAAAGGTAAAACTGCGGGCAGCCCCGGTGGCTCAGTGGTTTGGCGCCGCCTTCAGCCCAGGGCCTGATCCTGGGGACCCGGGATCGAGTCCCACATCGGGCTCCCGGTGGATGGAGCCTGCTTCTCTCTCGGCCTGTGTCTCTGCCTCTCTCTCTCTCTCTGTGTCTCTCATGCATAAATAAATAAAATCTTAAAAAAAAAAGATAAAACTGCAAGTGGGACAGTTCTCATTTACTAAAATAAGTTTCTCTCTGGAGCACTTTTAGGTATATGACCTCGTTTGATTCCCCCATTGCCACGGCCCTTCCCCGCGGGCGGCCAGCACCCTGAGGCTGAGAAGTGACAGCGTTGGCACAGGGCCTCGGGGAGCCGGCAGGAGTGGGGCCAACGCCAGGGCCCAGGCCGCCTGACTTCTGACCCGGGATTCTTTGCCCTCCGCCTGGGGCCGGGGGCGGCAGAGACACTGGCTCAGCCCCTGATCCCAAGAGCCTCCCCGGGTGTCGGGACAGGTGCAAAGGCACCTGCTTGAAGTCTGCTTGGTCACTTCTGTGCCTTTCAAGGCTTGGGTGACAGCGACCCTGTGTTCCCAGCTCTGAGTGCTCCATCTTCTCCTCCTACCAGGCCTACACCGGGGGCAAGCGTGGGGTCAGGGGGCCCATCCCTGCCTCCAGACCCAAGGGTCTCACCCCCGCTCAGGCACTCAGAAGGCAGCTCTATCGTTAGAGCCTCCTCTGCCTCATTGGTTTTTCTTTTCGGCTCTATCATTGCTTTGGAAGTTCCTCTTATAGTCTGACCTCAGGCAGCCCTGGTGACTTCATCAGATGTTGTTCAGAGAGAGATGACAAGAGAGTAAGACAAGAACCAGCAGGTAGAAATGTCTAGTGCTGAGCCCGACCTAAGCGGCTTTCAAGGGTTCGTGGTCATGCCGTGCAGCAGAGGCCAATCACCTCGGCTTCCCAGTTGCCTCTCCCTGCCTCCCTGGACCAGACGCGAGGCGCTCTCTGCCCCCACAGCCCCGGAGCGTGGCCCCTCCCTGTTACCTTGTTGATGAAGGATGCAAAGCGGTTATTCAGGCACTTGATCTGCTCCTTCTCGTCCCTCTTCACCCTCTGCACGGCCGGGTCGATCTCCAGCTCGAGCGGGACCAGCAGGCTCTCGTTGATGGTGACGGGGGCGATGCAGGCCGAGGGTCCGCAGACGGCCCCCACTCGGTACCCGAAGCTAGGCAGGCCGCACCTGGAGGCCACCCGGGGCCTCCCGAAGCCCACGTTGCACAGGCTCCGGGAGCCCAGGCAGCCCAGGGCTCGGAGGCCCCCCCCGCCCCCGGGCCGGCACGGCCCCTTGCTCACTGCATGGTGGGCGACCATCCGGGGCAGCACAGCCGAGCACGAGCTGAAGCTCTGACCGCCGCACCTGGAGCCCAGCTGGAAGGAGCGGCACGACATGGCGGGAGAGAGGCAGAGAGGCAGAGGCGGCTGGCGGGGAGAGCTCGAGGGCCCAGTTATCAGGCCAGCCCGGCTTCCACCCTTTTATCTGGTGGCCACGCAGGGCTGGGCAGGGTCAAACCCCAAATCACCATTAACAAGTTTATAAGCTTGGGATATTGGCAGCTGCTAAGTACCAAGGTGGATAATTAGGGTAGCAGAGAGCAAAGGGAAGGAGCCAGTGGACAGTGCTGGTGTCCTCTTTCCTTGTTTATGGGGGTGACGAAAGCGGCCAGCCAGACAGGCGTTTGGCATGCTGGGTGGCTCAGCATCAACGAAAGGGAGAGTTAGGACTTCATGCCATTTCATGGCAGGGAGAGGCATGAATTATACGGCCCTGTTGCCCAAGACTAGAGGCCAAATTAACTACGCTTGGGGATGCTCTATTTCCCCAAGGCTGCTTTTCTGCCAACGTGCCAGACCCTCCACGGGTTCCTAGGTGCCCTAGAAGCTCGCTGGGAGAGAGGATTTTGGAGTGGGCGAAGCCTCCCCAAGCCAGCTGGGCCCTGCCCCTCCTCAGGTCAAGCGGGTGCTGGCTGTGGCTTAGTGTCACTAGGGCTCCCGACGTTGACTCTTGTCCGTGGGGCCCATTTAGTCCAAAAGAGCCTGCAGGGGACTCAAGAGGAGCTGCTTTGCTCCCCGGGGAGGGGAGAGGAAGGGGCACACTCCCCCCAAGACTCTTTGGATCCTCAAAGATGGTATCAGCTTTATGTTGACACTATTGTGTCATCAGCCTCTTGCCTTTTGTCCCCACCTCATCTCTAGCCTCCCCTGTCCTGGCCTGGGGACATTCCCAGGGACCGTTGCTGACCTCAGGAATTGCTCAGATGGATGCGGGATGCAGGCTTCATCCCCATCACCCGGGTCACAGCCCTTAGGAGATGCTTGAAATGCCCCCTAATCCCCTAATCCTCTTCCCTCCTTGTTTCCATCAGTTCTATCCGCGGGGCATCTACTGTGGCCGACGGTCTTACCCCGCCACACTGGCTTCTTCTTCTTCTTCTTCTTTTTTTTTTTTTTTTATTTTCCAGGTCACAATTAAGCCAGTAATAATAATAGTGACATTTATGGGGCGTTTACTGAGTCCTGGGACCACCGCGAGCTCTACACCCACGATCTCATTTAATTGTATGACAACACCATGGTGTCGTTTCTGCTTTACATAAAGATGAGGAAAGTAAGGAGCAGAGTGATTAAAATTAAGTACCCCAAACCACGCAGCTCCTCGTGGTAGGCTGGGATTCCATCCTATTCTTTCTGATGTCACCGTGCCCTGCTGCTCTGGTGGAGAGAGGCCTGGTTGATGTTGGGCGGTTAAGAGAGTAGTTATAAAGGGGGAGAAGGGTCTCCTGCCCATGTGCATTATGTATTCTCTGTCCCACCTGAAGATTAGGAGCTTGGAGGTCCAGTTTTGGACTAACTGTGATGTGTCACTGTCCCCTTTTCTGTAGTCTTGACTTTAGGTCCCAGAAGGCTGGGGAGGGAAATTGGGGCTCGGGGAGGTCAGGGATGTCACAGGAGGCCACGGGCAATGGTGGGAGGCTGAGGTGGGTTGGGGTGGGTCTTGGTACTTGATGGCAGGACAGGGGGCTTCCCATTCCACCCTGGGGGAAGTGTCCCAAGAGGTGGGCTCAGGAGACGTGAGTCAGACGTGATGGTGACACCAGGAAACCAGACTGAAGAGCATCCCCCACCGCTCCCAGGCCAGAGCAAGGTGCAGTGACACGTTGGGTCCCCAGGAGCCTGGGGCCAGAGCTGGGGATCAGAGAGTAGGATGGTTCGCTGGATCTGTTGAGGGTGGAAGGCTCCTGTTCCCAGAGAACACCAGTTCTAAGCGCCCCCCACCCACCCCCACCCCGAATGTGAGATAAGACGCGGACTCTACCAAGACCTAGAGAGCTCAGTGACGCTTTATTGAAGCAATTTCAGGAAAGGGGCACACACGGGGAGCAGGCAGGTCAGGAGGGTCTGAGACCATCGGAGCGGGGTGACTTTGTTTTCTGACTTGTATCTCTACTGTCTTCATGTCCACAGCGGGCGGCCAGTCCCTGCTTGCCTTTGGGATGCATGCACGAGGACATGGCAGGTGTTTTGAGGACTCACAGCTCCTCAAGTAGGGAGACCAGACCATGAAGGCCAGCCTCAAAGAGATCTCTTTGCCTGTGTCTTCTTCCCTCTCCCACGGCTCCTCTACTTCTGCTTCCTCCACAGACCGAGCAAGCATCCTCTGAGGGGGAGGAAAGACGCCGGAGGACGCTCAGCCTCTCTTCTGAGTGTGCCCTCTTAGGTCTCCCCTGTGGGGCAGGGGGTTTGGTGGACTGCCCTCAAGAGCGTCATTTCTAGCCAGGCCAGGGGCACAGGCAAATCCACACTATAGACAGTTCAGAGACAAGAAGGTCAGGAGAGGGGGAGCGGGAGATATATTGCCAAACAGATGAGTGGGAGGGCAAGAAAGGAGAGAAATAAAGGAGCAGAGAGGAGGGGTGGAGAGAGAGGAGACGCACAGGGTGGTGGGGGAGGGGGAGAACGAGGAGGGAGGGGGGAAAGAGCAAGGTAAGGAGGACAGAGAACTTTCCAGAAAAGGGACATGGCTACCAGAGGGAGGAGAACGACTCCTGAGCCGGGAGGGTTATTCTGTGGGAGGAGCGTCCCAGGGCCGCTCGGACACAGCCTAGCTGGGCTCCTCTTCCGGGCGCGTCTGCTGCCCAGCCGCCTTCCCACGCCTGGCACGAGCCTGCCTCCCCCCACTCGGCAGCAGGGCGGTTCTGCACGCGGTGGGAAGTCTGACGCTGGCTTAAATGAGGCAGATTTGGAAGGAATTTGGCTGCGAGCTATCATGGAATGCAGCCCCGGGACGTGGAGAACCCTTGGGTTCTTGGTAAAATCCTTCTGTTCTAGTATGAATGATCGAGTTGGTCATATTTTGAAGGGGGTTGGTTTCTCATTCCAATAAGATGGTGGGAGTTGTCAGGGGAAGTGGGTGGGGGCCTGGCAGGGGACAAGAAGGAAGGAACTGAGGGTCCAGTAGGCCCGTTGGGTTGGCAGCGTGCCCTGGTCTGAGAGGGCCTGCAGGGAAGGGTCCCGTCTGTGATGAGAGAGCACACACGGCGGGGCTCTGGCCTAGATGGACTACACCCAACTGCTTTGGGAGCACCAAGGTCAATTCTAAGCACCTGCCCTCCCCCGTAAAGGACTGTGGGTGCTGTGGATCTGGCTCCCTTGGGGAGGAGAAGACCCTCCTGCACCCCTGCACTGGAAGCTGCTGATGGACAAAGTCCTAGCCTAGGTCTTGGCGCAGAGCAGTTGAGTCGGCATTAGTTGGAGCGGATGTCTGGGGACCCTGGAGGGGCTGGGATAAGGAGCAAGAGAGGTACCTCTGTGGGGACCCATCTGGAGGCAGAGCGATGGACAAGGTGACCTTAGAACTCACGGGCCACTCCCCACACCTCCTGCTGTTGATTTTGCATGTGGGGCATCAGCAAAGCGGCAGGTCTCAGGGCTGGGAACGAGGGGGTGGGGGTCCGGAGGGGGCAGCCGAAGCTGGTGCGGCCCTTTAGCTCCTGTAACTCTTCTTGGTGGATGACGTCTTGGAGATGATGCGCACGCTGGAGCTGCTGCCGCCCATGTTGCGGCCACTGGTGGAACTGAAGCCACCGCCCGAGCTGTAGCCCAGGCTGCTGCTGTAGCCACCGCCGGTCATGCACAGGCTGCCGCCACCGGAGCTGTAGCCCGTACCCCCACTGGAGGAGACCACGGCTGTGGAGACAAGGCACAGGGCACGCTGGCAGGTCCTCCAGGTCCCCAAGACTCCCGTTCCCTGGCTCTGGGCCCAGGAGGGCTCCCTCCCACTTGGCTTCCCAGAGGAAAAATGGAGATGCAAAGCCATCAAGTGGCATGCCCAGGGCCACACCTGCCATGTCCATTCCTGATCTACTTAGACTCTCAGGCTGGATGGAGCATGAGGCCTCGTGTCCTGAGCAGGACATGTCGGAAGGCTCCTTTACTGGAGAGGCCCCAAGGCCATCCAGGTAAACCTTCCCCCATTGGAATCACCTCTGACGCATCACCCAAAGGCAATGGTTTATAGTACTTGCCCAGACAGGTTAGTGAGGGGGAGCTCACTGCCCTGGGACGCATCACCCCACAGCCTGTCAAACATTTGAAGACGCCTCTTTGACTTTCCCCCTCTGTCCAGCTCTCCAGGTGAAGCATTCCTGTTCCTTTTCATCAACTGGTTTCAAGCTCTCCCCCTTCCTGGGTTTCTGGCCTCCCTCACGTGGTCTGAGCCACATGGGGCCCAAGGAGACCCTACTTCTCTTGCCTAGGACTCGATGCTCCCTGAGCACGTTCCCTCACCCTGCTGGGTCATTCCGAGAGATGCTTCTCCCCACCTCTCCCCTCCGTGAGCTGAGGCCGAGCCAGGTCGGTCACTGCTCTACTCGTTCCAGTAATTTGCTTTAATTCTAGATACGGCTCTTTTCATTTAACCAGTTTACTGGCCTCTTGTTAGTTGTGTGAGTTGGAATCCTGCCAGAGCTAGCTAAGGAATCATGGCCAGGCTGCGGACCCCTCACTCCTGGAGTCGTCCTGTCCTGTAACTGGGGGTCCTCTGGGGCCGGGGTGAACTCCTTCCCGTGGACAAGTGACTCCATCGGGACTGGCGCTGGGGGTGGGATCTCATCACAAGTCTCTTGAGCCCACAGAATGGAAATGCCCAAGGAGATAGGGTCTCCCCAGAGCCTTCAGGAGGATCCTCGTGACACTCTCCCCACATCTATCAGCAACGCCTTGTTACGATGCTATCGCTTCTCTTTTGACTCCCACTTCTCTATTATCCTGAGACATTTACTCACAGATGTTCACGGGTCCGACGCCTTCCCCGGTGAGTCTGGTGAAGGGAGGGAGGGGGAGAGAAAGAGATATTTCATTTGCTGAGAAGTGGAAGGGCCCTGGGCTCAATGTATTTGTCGCTAACAGCACGCAGAGCTTACTGCATGCCAGGCCCCATGCTTAGCAAGCCTTTCGTCCGTCTAGCTA